GTATAATAGCTTTATTAAAATATTTATTATAAATTTATATTATTATATGAGATTATTGAATTTTATATATGTATGTACATATATAATTTATACGATAAGTATAGGTCATATGATACAAAATCTTATTATTTTGTCTTATATCTGTTAATAAATAATTTTATGATTTAATAGGTTAATATTGGCTTACCGTATAATGAAAACATAATAACAAAATACATTGATAAGAGTTGTACATTATCATAAATCATAAGTTTTAATTTTTTTTTTTTTTGAGAACACGTACTTGTGAATAGATACATAAGTACCCTTAACCTTCGTAATCGTAAATTAATCGTAAATTATTTAAAATTTTTATAAAAATCGAATTGTGTTAGGTCCAGTCCACGATTCATATTGCATTTAGTTTGATTCAATTTATAGCAATCGAATATCGATAGAATATAATTGGGCTTATTTCGCGTTTCGAATCACTAAGTGTTAGTGATAATTATCGTAAAAAATTCGATATTATTATTGTAAACACAAACCAATTCAAACAAATGATTTCTGCCTATAATAATTTTATTGAAACTTTTACGATAAATATCACCATCATTTCGTGATTCAGTGCTCGGAATAAGCTCTAATGCTTATGTAACGAGAATATAAGTAATAACCAAATACATCATTTAATGTTTCCACATATACCAATGATACAATGTTATGATACTTATAATATTTTAAAATTTTACTTAAATAATGAAAAAATGTTTACGTATTGGTGCTCCTTTTCTCACAAAAATACTATAAATTTACTAAATTCTTAAGAGAAATTAATTTTTCTGCTTCAATCATAATTGAAGATCAATCACGAGAAAAAAAGCGGCTACAAAAATTAGTTGTGAATTGATGGATTTCAAGTTGGCAGATTCTGAGGTATTCTGCAAAATATTCAAATATTTTTGAAAATTTTTAAAATGAAAATTGTTTATACTTACGATATCATACTATATTTTCCAAACTGCTTTCCATTTAATTAAATTTCACTTTTAAAGCACATTCTTTTATATTTAAAATATTTGAAATAATTGAAATGAACGAAATTTTTTGCTTGTAAAGTAAAACTCATAGCCTACATAGTGTAATTTAACAATTTCTGACAGTTAAAACGAAAATTATTTTCATTTAAACAATGACGTTTTATAACAAATTTAATTACGATACAAAATTCTTTACGTTCTATTAATTAAATTTTTATTACGTTATTGTAAACATTGCATTATTTAAGTAAGAGTAATTTCAAAAAAAAAATAAAACGTAACTATTAAAATTTAAATTTAAATTAAAAAATTGCAATTACATATTTAAATATAGTTTATTTTCGAAAAAAAAAATATAATTTTAAAAACAACTATGAAAAAAAGAAAATGAATAATTTCCAAAAAAAAAAAATTACTTATTGTTTTAATTTAAAAGCTATAACTAAGTGGTCATTCTATGTTAATTTGTTTGTATTATTATTATATAAATATATTGTTTATTTAATGGTTTACATTAAACTTTTATTTACTATTCATTACGTATTTTTTGTAAATAAAATTTTATTATATACATACATATATAGCTCATCACTTATTTATATATAAAAAAATCCGATGTGATCAACACATAGCCGACTGTAATGTATATTGTCTAATTTAGTGAAAATGTTACAGAAAATTATTAAAAAGCTTTTTAAATTTTAAACACTTCTGTTGAATTTTAAGGATCCTAGTAAGATTTTAGTTAAAAATTTAGAAAAATGTGAATTTGGCTTTTAGTTGAGTTTTACTTTGTGCCATCTGAATTCCCTGCAAAATTAACCAGTTACTTCCGGTAGCAAATAGAACCTCAAATATTAAATAATCAAATATTAGGAAATTACGTCAATTTGTTCCTTAGTGTTTTATGGTGTTTTAGTTATTTCTCACTATTATTATTATCGGTAATTATTTTTTTACATATAGTCAAAAGCGTAAAATCGGCTCAAAGTAAAGATCAAGTTCAAGAGACCTCACATATCTCAAATCTCTCTCGAATCTCATCTCGAGAATGTGACGGTTTTATCAACTTCGTAAGAAAGATTTCTTAAGAATCGATCCAGCTGAACATGAGATACATAAGATCTGCACAGACAGATTGACAAACATCTCATCAAAAAGATTTATTTACGCTTCCTTATCATAGCAAAACATATTTGCTCCGAAAATTCCAAATGTGAAATTTGTTACGGTCACATGGTTTCCCTCATTGTATGCAATGCAGTCGGTAAAAGTACGTATTTTTTTTAGGTAATATTTTTAATACTTTTTTATATAGATTAAATCAAATGTTATTGAATCCATTATAATTTTTATATAATTATAATTTATATTATTAACCTATATATAGTATATATATAGATAATTAAAAATTATGACTAAAGAGCTAATAGTTTTGCATGTTTGAGTGTATTAGTAATTTTCCTGTTAAATCTTATTTTATTGACATCATTATTAATTACAATCGAAATATTATTGATACTAAAAATATTTTTTTGCCGAATATATTGTTAGTTAGTACATTATATGCTAAAAATAATATATAGTATCACTTTATTACCGTATATACATATATTAAAGATAAAAGTAAGTACTGAAAAATTGTAAAATTGCCTAAAGTTTTTTCTTTGCATTTATGGGAAAAATTTTGAAACCAGCAAAAATTGTTTCTGGTAGATATTCGACCTGACAATGAGTTATTCAAAACTTGCCTCGTCAGCGACTCTTGTGATATATTTTTAATATTTTGAGAGACTAACGGTCATTATAGATAATTCAAAAAAAAAACTTCGACTCTGGAATGGGACTTTTCTTATTTTTAGATATCTCTTAAAATGTTACTTATAAATTTTTTTATTGTACTATGTCGGCAAGTCGAAAAAATCATCAGGATAGTGGGGACTATTTTAATTATTTTCTTTGAACCAGTTGATTACAGTAATGTGTCAGGCCTTTATGACTGACTTGGAAATGAGAGTGCTAATCTATGTTGCCTTCTAGTTATTTAATACGCGATATTTTATTAAAATAGAAAGTAACGCTCTCGCACTTTAACTTCATACATTATAATTTCAAATCTAAATTTTAAAATCTCCGCTTGTAACATTTTTTTTTTGAAAAAAAGCTAAAAAATCAAATTTATTATAAAAAAGAAAATAAAAACGAGAATTAAAAAAAAATTTTTTTTTTTTTATAATAAAAACATGTTTTCCATTTTGTCTTTTTTTGAAAAAATTCTACATAAGGTTAAAATATTCATAGTGGTATTAAATTTTTTTTTTTTGGCATAGAAAGATTGCTGATTTTTTGAAAAATTTAATTAACTTGGTATACATATTTTTTGTCTAATCATGTGATATTGAAATTATTTAACTTTGTTTAAGAATATTTTGATGAAAAGCAAAAAAATTCGAAAAATACATAAAAAGAATTGTTTTTTTTTTTTTAACCCTGAACATTTAGCATATGGGGTAATTTTAAATGATTTGGTTTTACTTATTGCTCATTAAAATTTTATTGGGGGGGAAAAAAATTATGTCAAAAAATTAATAGTTAGCACAAAGTTTTGTGTGTCTTATATTGTTGCCGGAAATACATTTTTTGCGTTATAGGTACACAAGAAATTGCTAGGTTTTGAGTTGTACAGTACGGTATATGAGTTTGAATTCTTTAATTTGGCCAGTTTATGATTTTCTTCTCGAATTTGTTTTCGCACATTTTCGAGAACAATGACATATTTAAAAGTGCAAAGTTTTGTTCTATAAAAATCTCTACGCCTTCCTTCCTTAATCGGAAAACTGCAAGTTTTTTAAGGGGTAGCCTTTATATTCATTCTTCTTACTATCTAAATTGAGTACAATAAAATATAAACAAATTTTTATTGCTGCTCGTTGTCTTTTTATAAATTCCTACATGCATACAAACATTTATTGTAACTATTGTTTTTAATTATAATAATTATAATTTTTCTCATTAATTATAATGTTATGATAATTTTTATTTAAAATGTAAAAATGAGAATGAAAATCTTTTATAATTTAATTTAATTCGAAATTTTCTTTTTAATATTAATGTTTCCTTAATCTTGTACTATATATTAACATTGTATATAACAAAATTATTATAATATTTAAATTTGAACAATAAAAACTAATTTAAATTTTAAAATAATTATTGTAATTCATTAATATTAATTAATTCTTCGATAGTGATGAAAATTTTTTTGAATTAATTAATATAATCTTTATAATTTACACAATGGATTTACTCTTGTAATTTTCTAATTTTTCATTTTATATTAATTTTAATCGAGTTTGTTTTGTATATTAAATTATTTTCGATTAAATTAATTTTAAATAAAATTAAAAAAGTAGAAATAAAGGTGCAGGAATTTCATAATTATTTATTTTTTTTCACAAAAATGGAATGCAAAAATTTTAATTATAAGAAACACAAAGTGATTTTTCATTTAAATACTTTAGAAATATAATTTGCAGTGCACACTTTGCTCAAACTCTTCGATCATTAAGCACAAATAAATATTTAATAATTTTTAAAATTGTAAGCTAATAAAATAAAATGTTTAATAATAAAAAATTATATTTATTAATAATTTCACTTAAAAATATTGTAAATTATTTTTGAATTACAAAATAGTCTAAAATATTACGTATAAAAATAATAATAATGGTTCGCCTAAACATATGCAATTTTTTATTATAAAGAGAATAAAATTAAACGATAAAATTTTACAATCAGAAAAATTTATTTTTATATTATATTACTTTTGTTTTTTGTTATACGCCATATAACAGCAAAATTATACAATATTGTGAAGTAATAAGTGTTATATTTTTAGATAATAAATTAATAAGTAAATCAAAGTATTTTATATAATGTAATTTATTAATTTAATTTATTTTTTTTTTATTTTTCTTACAGATTATTAAAACCATTTTAATATTTAAAAAATCAAAATATATATATATATATACGTGAATAAAATATAATTAAAAAAATATCAAGATGAAATAAAAATGTCATTTAAAAGATGGCTAGCTCTATTATTCTTTTATGTATCATATCTATTTTTTGGAGCTAGCATTTATTATGTTATTGAACATAATGAAGAATCAGCTGAAAGAGCTATAGCATTACAAGATCGTATTAAAATTAATGGTAATTATAAAATATATAATTATAAATTTTTAAATAAAATTCTTGAAATTATTATGTATTTTAGCATATATTAAAAAATATTTGAAGGGTGATGATGATATACAAAATGAAGTATTAGGTAATATTACAGAATATTGTGGTAAAAAAGTGACTACAGTAGAACCTGATGAAATACAAGATCCATACAAATGGGATTTTTATCATTCATTTTTCTTTGCCTTTACTGTTTGTTCAACAGTAGGCTATGGAAATTTATCACCATCAACAACATTAGGACGTATGGTATTAATTGCATATTCATTAATTGGTATGCCAGTAAATACCATATTATTTGCGGGATTGGGTGAATATTTTGCACGTTTGGTAAAATTTTAATAATTAAATTTTTTTTTTAAGTTTTATAATTAATTTCTCATATTTTTAGTTCGAACTCATTTATGAAAGATACAAAACTTATAAATTATCAAATAATGATCTCTATATACCAAGGCAATTTGGACTTATTGCAACAATTGCAATGGCATTAGTACCGGGAATAGTTTTTTTTCTTATAATACCTTCATGTATATTTTGTTATTTTGAAGGTTGGCCATTTACTTTATCATTATATTATTCTTATGTAACAACAACAACAATTGGATTCGGAGATTATGTTCCGACATTTCAACCTCATCAGGTACGGTATTTATTTAAGTTCCACCATTTATAAATATGCTTAATATTAAAATATTTTATATAATTGTAGGAACGTTATTTTGGTGGATTATTTGTTGCCTATCAAATTTTCATTATTGTTTGGTTCATATTTTCTCTTGGTTATATTTTAATGATAATTGGTTATGTAACGAAGTAAGTCAAAATAATTTTAGGAATGATGAATGCTTTATTATATGATTTTAATTCTAATTAATAGATTTTTCCGAAGTAAGAAATTAAGAGAACTTGAACGTCAATTAAAAAGTAATATTAAGAATACACAAAGTCGAATATGGCATGGTGTTGTTAAAGATGTCGGCTATCTTAGGAAAATTATAAATGAAGTTTATTTAAGTGTAAAGGTAAGTTAATTTAAATTAAATATTAAATTATATAATTGAATTAATTACAAAATAATGTCATATTTTAGCCAATTTATCATGAACCTGGTTTAAGAACACCATGTGATTTATGCAGATCATCATCATGCCCTGATTTATCAATGTATAGTGCATCAACACCAATTTTAAGTAGAAAACGTGCATTTTCAGAAAGTTGTAATAAATTTTCAAGTGATAATCAAATGCAAATTGGTAATGGAACTCCAGTTTATAAAGCATCATCTGATACAGATTTAAATAAAATTAATAAAGAGAAAACATTTGAAACTGTAAATGCATTCCGTGAAACAACGAATCTATTAGCTAAAGTTGTTACAGCTTTAGGTAATATACAACCACCACAATATGATATTGGACCTGATACATCAAGTTTAAATAGTACATTATTTGGTGCATATCATGGTTTTACTGATTCACAAATACTTTCTGATGAATATTTGGTAGCATCAGCACAAAATGATTTTCATCCATTACATAGAGAACGTGCATCATCAGATTTCTTTATTAATCCAAAAACAATACCTTTAAAACATCAAAATGAGTGGACATGGTGCGGTGATAATCATCAAATACAACAGGAAATTAATGATCGTGCGAAATTTTATAAAAATAATAATTTAGCAAAAACTGCACTTTATAAGTCTGCATTAAATAATTCTGTTACATTGAATATTGAATCAAAAGATGAAATACCACAACCTAAAAAGAAAAAATCATTTGTTTTAGATCTTTTCAGAAGACGATCAAGTATTTTAGATTTTAATAAAAATCCACCTAAAAAATCAATTGATATTTCAGGTAGTGGTAATATTTTACCAACATTAGGTGATAAATATCCGATTCCACAAAGTTATTATACACCTACAACAACAAATAGTTCATTAAAATCTGAAAGGAAAACAAGTTTAGCTAATAATAGATCAATTGAAACAATATCACAAGATTATAGTAATTCACCAGATCTTAATCAATTGAAACAACGTAAAGGAAGTTTATATCCATTTTATAGTAATAATATTATGTTAAATGATTCAAGAGATTCATTGAATTCCCGTAAAAGTTTTTCACACCGAAATAGTATTTTTCATAAAACAAATCGTTCCGGTTCTTTAGCATTCCCAATGGAAACGAATCGTTTTCGTACAAGTAGCTTAAATTCTGATTCACATAGGAGTCGTGAATCGATATGCTCAGACCGAAAGAGTGAATTAATATTAGAAAATACATCTGTAGCTGATTTAATAAGAGCATTAGAAGTAATACATACAAGAGCTGTAACACAAAATGATCATATTATTTCAACAATACCAGAAATGAATGAAGAAAAAACTAAAAAGAAAAGAAAAGTCGGTACAAGTGAACCGCCACAATTATCACCATTATTTACAATATTTTCAAATAATACCGATGAAGACACAAATCAAAAAACAGATACAATTACACAAAAACCAGATAAAACTCGTCCAACAATACAAAAATTCAATACAAGAAGAACATCATTATATGCAGAAGCTAGTGGACAATTTAATAAAAAAAATCAACAATCAACTGATATTAATAAATATGGTAGACGTTTTAGTGTACGTCCAACTGAATTACAAATACCACCAGGTAAATCACAATATTCTGGACAAGCAATATCATCATTTCCAACAGCATTACAAAGAAGATTATCAGTACGTCATAGTAAAGATTTTAAAAGTTCACCATTAGCAAGTACCACAGGTTCTAGTAGTGTTGGTGGTAGTGGTCCTGGTGGAAGTGGTGGTAACAGTGGTGGTAACAGCGGTAATAATAGTAATGTTAATAGTAATCGAAGTAGTATTAGAAAACAATTTATACCAATATCATCTAGTAGTAGTAGTAGAACATCACAAAATCCATCATCAACTACCACAACACTACGAAATTTCAATTCTAATACAAATTCTGAAGCATAAAAAGAATAAAATAAAAACTAGCAATTAATTTTATATTAATTATTTTTAAATGTTGCCAATATTAGTCATTAATATTAAATAATATTAGTTAGGATTCAATTATATGTAATTATTATTGCTGTGTTGTTTCGTTTTTTTTAGTCTAGTTAAAAAATATGTAATAAAATGTTAAGTCTGATATATAAGAATATTTAGAATATTTATAAAAGTACTTAAATTTTTAATGAATATATTTTTGGATTTTTAAAATTTTTAAAATTATAGATAGATAAAAACAAAACAAATTATAAAAGACAATGATAGTAAAAAAAAAGACAATTAAATAAATAGTTCTTATGACAATAAACAAGAAGACTTCATTTTGGTCTTCTAAAAAAATAAATTAGCCATGTTTTGTGCAATATTTTAAATTTTTTTTTTGTTAAATATTTTAGAAAATTCATTTTTTAATTTATTTAATGAATTGTTGCTTTTTAATATTATTAAAGTTAAAAATTGTAATTCCATTTTATATAAATTTGATTTTCTCTAAATTCAGTTAAAAAAAGGCCCGGTTCTGTTTTTTTCGGCACCCTACGCGGTTTGCAAAGGAATCTCCCCCTCCTTTCAAAATAATGAACAATATGCTATAAACATTGCCCATTGCGAGTAGTAATTTCGTTCATGTCGTCCAGCGCACATCGCATAATGCATATACTTATTTTGCATATATGGTAGATCCGACGCTTCCTCATAACATATTTAACACCCATAACCATATTTAATGCTGTTTTCATAAATTATTTCAATTAAGATACACTGCATCTTCAAAATACGTTCTTTCTTTCAAAATTATTTTCAAAATTCGTTCAATTCGATATTATGGCCTAAAAATTTTGTTTTCGAAATTATATTTACGTGAAAATATTTTTTAATACGAGAAAATATTTTTATTATTTAGATAATTTTTTTATTTTCTGAAATTTCAGCTTCATTAAATTCTTGAAAATAGTTTTAAAATTTCAAGTAGTTTTGAAATTAATTTTAATTTGTATTTAGGATCAGAATTATAACAATATCAAATTATACATGATAAAATTATATTTTTATATAATCATATTTACTTATTTATATTAAAATAAAAACAAACACAAAAAAAAATGAATACAAATTAATATAAATATTTTTAGTTATAATTTATAAAACACAAAAAGTATTAATTAGAATTAATTTAATAAATTATATAATTTAAATATTATACACCTTTATGTTTTTTGAATTAAGTTTAATTAAATAAAAAAGAAGAGCAAAAGAATAAAAACAAAATATAGATTTAAAAATATTCGTGATTAATAATAAAATAAAAATATTAAATAAGAAATATGAGTTTACAGAAAAAAAATTGTAATTTTATTTAATTATCCTTTATAAAATATTGTTCTTCTCCTCTGAAATTACCTCAGATAAAATAAAAACTTACTTACATACTCTGTATTGAAATTTGCCCGTGAGACTCATATAATTATATAAACTTTTTAAATATATTGTAATTTAAATATTATAGATTAAAATAAAATTGATTCCTGATTATTTTATAAAAATAAGAAAACGAACGCTTTAACATGTTTGCTACCATCTTATGGTTTTAGATCAAAACCTGAATAATTGAAACACAGTATCTAACTTTATTATGAGAACATGTTATATGATTAACATTCTACGAGTATATCTTAATGTTATATGAGCATTATAATTAAATGAAACGACAATATAAAAAAATTTCTAATTTTTCTAAAAAAATTGAAAAATTTAATTTTAGACCGAATTTTCTTTATAAGACTTGAAAATTATTTAAAAAAATTTAAAAAATACCATTTTTAAAATAGAAAAATTAATTACACAAAACCTGCCTAAAAGTAAATTTGAGAGAAATCTTAAAAAACGAGTGATAACTTATAAATGAAATGAGCTTATCAAAACATATTACATTTCTATTACGAATTATTCCTCCAATTTATATGACGACAAGTAAAATAAATTGTGAATAAGAAAAAATCCTTAAGAATTCCCATTTATTATTTAATAATCTTTATTTTTCCACAAAAATTTAATATAAAAATGTTAAGAAAGAAAAATTTCCACTCAAAGCTTAAAAAAAATGAAACATCAAAATTCTTTAATTAGTTATGAGCATAAAATTTTTTGTCACTCAACTATAACAGTTTAATTTTAAAATAAACTCGTTTGTATTTTTTTTTAAAGACCAAACAACCGGTTTTTACAACAGTTTTTTGTAAAAATTAAGCTTTCAAATTAATAAAAATGTGCTTTTAATTTCTTATTTTATGAATCCAAAATATTCGTGCAATAGAAAATTTATTTATCGTAGACACAAACCATTCGAGTTACATCCGTTATATTCAAATGGAATAATGTTGCTAAAACAAATTTATTATATATGTAGTCAGTTTAGATTTAAAATTGTTAAAAAGCTATGAATAATAAATTGGACCACCTGATGAATTATGAGCTTACCAAATAATAAATTTTTACTTAATTCTCAAATTGTTCATGATAATTTTGAAAATCTTATGATTTCTTTCAACCATTATGAGATCGACGAAGAATTAAGGCTAACACGACTGATTGTAAAAGTTTTCTAAAAAATTTTAATATATGCTCATTTTAATTCAAAAGATAATTGCCGGAAATTTGTTACATTTTGTTAAAAAGGCACACAGCATAATCAAATTCAATCGGCTTAAATTTTGAGATTTCACTTAAAACCAATTATTGGACACTTTTTGTGTTAAAATACAGCAAATTCTATATAAATTACATTAAGTTTCCTCATAATGTTCTCTTTCCCCTTTGTGAAAAATGTTAAACGATTCAAATCCATTACATTCGTTACTTCTTTCATTATTAACTTTTCATATTTAAACAAGTTATTAAAAATAAATATTAATGTGTATATTAGCAATGTAATATACACACATAAAGTAAATAAATATTATCTACTTTGCTTCCACTTATATAGATATGGATTCTATATTGTTTCTATAACATATAGAAACATTTATTTAATTTTTACATTATTTTATTTTGTAAACAAAATTTCGCGCAATTAATTTAAAAAGCTTTAAAAATTAAATTGCATATTCATGTTTCCTTTGAATAATTTTAATAAAAAGTGAAATTTTTTTAACACATACTATTAAAATTTAATATTTTACATACATATATATAGTTAAGAATTAGACAGATACACAATATAAGTCAAGAAATAAGAATTTTGAATATTTAATTGAAATTTAACATAAATTATATTAAATTTTACTACGAATGGGAATAAATAATAGAAAATTTGATTAAAAAAAAAATTAATTAAATATTAATTTTGTGCAATCAAATTTTTTCCCTTTTTAATATTTTTAAAATTTTCATTCTCTTAAAATTTTTAATTTCCATCACAAATACAAAATACTTAATTCATACGAGTATGATTACTTTATGTCATCATATAACGTAATATTGTGACGTAGCAACGGACATTTTAAATGTTTTAAACGTCCTTGTCTACAAAGTTCGACAACCTGCATACATAATATAATAATTTAATATAGATTGCCAAAATTGGTCAGAAAAAATTAATTTGTTTTATAAATATATTTATAAAAAGTTCGGTCAAGGTCAAAAGATTATTTAATATAGGTCCAAGATTATGAAAAAGAGAGAGAAAAATTATTAAATAATAAAAAAATTGCAAATTTTTATTTTATTAAAAATTTTAAAAACCATAATCATTTAAACACAAAACTACCACGTGTTATTTGGGATTCGCTTGTTTTATTTTTTAAATTTTTTAATTTCTCATAATATTGAATGTGTGGCTGCAAATTACATCACGGCTAGAATTTTATTTTTGGAAACATATTTTATTTTTTGATAACTTGACCCACATAAATAATATTTAAGGAATTTTTTGCGCAAATATAAAAAACTATCTAAAAATCATTAAAAAAAATTGACATAATATGGCAAAAATGACATGCTAATTGGATGTGAATATAATTGATTTACACTCACATCAATTTTTAGCAGTATGCAGTATTGCCAAAATTTCAAAATATTTTTAGCATCATTCTAGTAAGACTTGCAGAGAATTAAATTCTTATTCAAATATTCAACAAAAATCTATTCTTAACAATCTTATATTAAGTATCTTAATATTAACAAGTATAACAATTATCATTTACAACTAAAATTTTTATCCCATGATAAAGTGTGATAAATCAGCTGGGAAAACCAAACCATAAAAATTATATATACTATCAGATTGAATTCAATTAAATTTTCATAATTAACTTTCATAATTGAGCTTCTATTGTTGCTTATTAATTAAAACAAAAATTAAATTAAGTTATTTGTTCTATATATGCATATACACATATACATACATATATAAAATTAGAAATTAAAAAGTTTTTCATATAAGAAAAAAAAATCAATTCATTTAAATTTTAATTAATTTGAGAGAAAAAATATTAATTCTCATAATTTATAATTAGTTCTCAGAATATAACAATTTTGTTATACAGGAATTTGTTATACAAAATTTATTCAGAATAATTTTTTTCAAATTCTTAATATGAAAGTGTTAGAATTATAACACACTGTATACGAAATTTTCTAATTGATATACGATTTTTATTTTTTTGTTAAATTGTATAAAATATTTAAAAATAGGATATTGAAATTTTATTTGAATAATTTTACATACGAAATTTGATAAAAAAAAACAATTTTTTTAATTAAAAATATAAATTAATTAAAAGATATTATTTTTAGTAAAACAAAAGTCTATTGTTTAAACAAGAATTTAATTTAAATTTTTGAACAAATTGTTCTATTAAAAATTTTTAATATCTTATAAATGAAACATAATAAATCTAAAATCTACAATGTAAATATTATAAATTCATAAAAATTTTTTAGTTTTTTATTATAAAATAATTCCGATTTTTTAAAAAGTATTGTAACATAGTTTGTAAATGATGGAAAACAATCCGATCGCCGGTCATAATAGATTTAAACTATATAAACCTATATAGTTAACAACAATCTTCTAATTTATGTTTCCAGTAAGAAATTAACTAAACTTACCAAAAAAGAAGCTTGTAGTAATGGGACAGTTATTACAAAAATTAAATATTGCATTCGATAACTAATCTAAAATAAGAAAAAAACCAATTCACTTTTGCTTTTTATTTACAAAATAACCACTTGTTTAAATACAAACATAAAAAATGTCAATATTTAACCTCTTAAATCTCAATATGACAATGAATAACGATGACAAAATCATTTTTTTTAAAAAACAAATTTTAACTCGCGTGCTGTAATCATCTTTTAAGTTAATGCTGTATAATATGTTGAACAAAATTTATTTATAGTCGTTTAGCAGAAATAGTTTTTCTTTTAATAGAAATTGCGTATACAACACTCGATTTATATAAGACAAAATATATATAATTATTAAATGAAAGTTTTCTATTGTGTACCTATACCTTAAAAAACTATTTCAAATATTTTATAGAGTTTCAAAATATTTAAAACATATGTAAACCAAAATTTAAAAAATAAACAATTTATTTTCAAATCCATATATTAAAACCACATCGCTGAATTGGTTAATATTAAATATGTGCATTTTCATTAGACCCTATAGCATAATCTCATATATATTTTCTGAAAAACATTTACGTGTACATAAGTGTATGGAGATATTCGTACATTAAATATACAAATATAAAATAGACAAAATGTGGTCATCTAAATGACAACAAAACGTTTCGATACTCAAATAAAATCTTTAAAATTAAAAATAATTTTTTAACAGAAAAAAAAAAATTTAGTTATTAGTTTAATCCGTTTAGAAAGATGTTTTTGAAATACAATGAATGCTATTTTTATGGAAACTCTTAGATTTTCAGAAATTTTTTCCAAAATTTTTTCATCACTGCAAAGATAATATGTGCTTGATTCTTATTATAATCCAGAAATATTGTGAAATTTATTAAAAATTAGAAAGCATTTTTTATAATATTAATTTTTTAATTATACAATTTTTTGTTAATTTTTTTGTATATTTCATACTATTTGAATACATATAGCATATACACATATACACATTCATTAATATTGAAGAATAAAACAAAAATTATGAAAATTACCTTTTCTATATAATAATATATAAAATAATACAATATTAGAGCGACCATATTGCCATAAGTATAAAAGGAGGACAAAAAATAATTAAACCACAGTAAATGGAGTAGAATTTTTTTGTTTTTACGAGTAGTATACAATTAAAATATTTTTTTTTTTAAAAGTCTAATTTATATGTAAGAATTCCATTGAAAGAGAATGAAGCTTACTTATAAATTAAAATCGGAAAATTAAATAAATTAATTGAGTCATAGCTATTTACGAACATTTATACTAATTGCTTTAATCCACTAACTTATTTTTTTGTTATACGTAATATGAAATATAAATTATAAAAACCTTCCTAAAATTTGTGTTCTTCAATACTAAAGTTTTTAAAACAATTCACATTTTTAAAGCAATTCAAATTACTCAATGCTTTTAAAATCGAAATTTAATTGCGTTCGTCAATCTATTGGTATCTTATAGAGAAAAAATCCTAACACATTCAAATTAAGTTCAAAATTTACATTACAGTTCTTCTGAAAGGTTTAATATTGAAATAACAGAAAAACATATAATATAAAAGAACAATTAATAAGATTATGTTGTAATGAAATTTGTATGATACAAAACTGGAGACATAAAACTGAATAACCAGACACCAGACTAATATTTACCACCTTAGCCCTTAAGGGCGATAAGAAAAAAGAACATAAGAAAAAAGAACATATGGTCAATTTATTATTTTTCAAAATAAAAACCTATGCATACAAATTATAATAATAATTTACACAAAAAAAAAAAAAAAACGTAAAAAATAAAAAATTATTAAAATTCATAAAGGCTACAATATTTTGTGTTATGGTGTAGTGTTGTCGTCCTATATGTCTACTTTCTAGCAATGATAAGCTTTTTTTATTCACTTTTGTGATTATAATATTATAAACTTTTTATAATAAATAAAATATTGGGAAAGCTTATAATCATATTATATTATTTAAAAGTGATCGCTATCAGAGATGATATTAACAAAAAAACGTTTCGAAAAAAGAAAAAATTAGAACAACATATAAAAAGGGAAATAAGAAATGAAGCAACAACCACAACACAACTACAATAACAACCAGAGAATCCAGCTAAAAAAACTTATTATTGTTATTATTTTTTTTCTTTGTTGTTATTATTATTTTTTAAGAATATCAACTTATCAAGTGATATTTTTTGTTTTTTTATTCTCAGTTGCCGACGAAATACCGTGACAATAGCAGCAAATGTTGACGGTAACTTTTTAATTTTTTTTTTTTGGTTTTTTAAGAAATTAAAATTAAATCTTGTTTTTTTTTGTTTGTTTGTTTGTTAATAGAGAAAATACAATATTTGAAGCAGAAGAATTAAAAATAAAATTAAAAAAAAAATAATAAAAACTTTCCCAATTTTTTTTTTTAATTTAGAAAATTTTTTGAAAAAAAAAACTTTCTTTTTTAAATTTTTAATTTTTTTTTTGTTTGTTATTTTTAGAAATTATTTAAAAAAATATATTAAAAGAATTAAAATTTCTCTACCAAAATATTTTATTCCAACAATACGTTTGTTTTATAATATAAAATATGTATATATAAATATATGTATGTACATATGTATACATATGCATTTTAAAAAATAAATTTATTCACATGTATAACATTATAAATAATATCAAAAAAAAATTTTTTTTGTTCTAATTTTTTTTTCAAAAACAAAAAAAAAACCCAACAAATTCTAGAGATAATAAATAAATTATATAAACTGGAAATAAAAACGTAAAGTAAGTAAGTAAAATAAATTTAAAAATTTTTTTTTTAAATATACATACACACTTCGATATATATATATAGTATATATGCGTAAACGTGTATTGAAGTGTGTTATATTGTGTGTGTATGTATATGTTTCTTTTATAAATTTAAATATTAAAAAATTATTAAAAAAAAATATTTCAAATAATAAAAATGATAGCATACATTCAATACAATATAAAATATTAATTTCAAAATTAAAAAATATTAATTTTATTGTATGTATAAAAAAACAACAAAAGAAAAGCACATTTTTCTTTTCGAATTTGACCTTTATTGCACCTTAAAAATGGCGGGAAAATTATAATTAATTCGTATTAAGTAGTACTACACTATATTACAATTTCTAGAATATTATTATATAGATTCTGAATATATAAAATGCAAAATTTTTAAATACGAATCTATGTAAAATTAAATAATTATATGAATTTTATAAAATTTATGCACAAATTGTAATGAAAAATAATATTTTCCATATGCTTTTTTAAGCACAATTGCCATTTTTAAGCACAATTTTCCAAAAATTTCACATTATCTCCAATATTATACATACAATATTAATTTTGATTTGATTTTAAATCAAAATTCAATTAATTGATATTCAAAAAAAACACAAACATATTAATATTTATAAAATAGAAAGAAAAAATATTCTAATAATATGAAAAATATAGAAATTTTTATATAAATTTATAGAATTTTAAGTAATATCTTTTTGTTTATTTTAGAGCACTTAATTATTTTAATTAAAAATGTTGTCTAATATATATTTACTATTAATTTAGAGTTATAAAATTTACAATTAATAAAAGTCATTAGTAAACTTAAAGCACCTTACATTTTTCAAAATTTTATCAGAATCATAGTATTATTTTAACAAAAATATGTCTTGAGACAGAGAGGTATAATTCCTAAAAAGGATAGCACTATTAAAACACGATTAAAACTTAAAATTTATATAAATATACAGTCTGTCTATTAATCTAAACACTTCACATTAATCACTTTAATTTAGACACCTTACATGTTAACCTAATTAAAATCGAAGTTGTTCTGACGTAAATTTCAATTTTATGATACAAAAATAAAATGGCATTTTGAAAAAAGTGACATAAGAGATAATCACGTTCAAAGAATAAATATGTATTAAAGGTGTTTAGAGTGGTGAAGAGGAATATTAAATATTTAGGATTTTTCTAATCCAATTTAACCTTAACCAATATTGATGCCATATATAAGACATTTAACCTATTAAAGAATTTTTAAAAAAATTAAATTTAAAATATTCTAAACCTAATTTTATTTAATTGATAACACTCTACAATATTTTAATTTTTTTTTTTGAGAAATAATTTCTCATTCTATTTTTTTTTTTTGCGCCAAATATAAATACGCTTGTATAACAGTATTAAAACCATGCAATTTAATTAAATTCAATTAGACCTCAATTAAGAATATTATAAAAAATTTTATTAATTAATGTATTAATTATATTTTAAAACAAATATGTAATTAATACAAAATAATAATTAAAAATAGAATATTTTAAAGAATATAAAATTAAAATTCTTATATTTTTATAACCTAAATAATATATGACCATATTTATATAAAAAAAAATTAGTAGAAAAAAAAAACAAGTTTTATAATGAATTCAAAATTTCTATATTATTCGAAAAGGGATTGAATTTTTTTAATCAAATCATTGCGGCCTTTTTTATTTGTTTTTATGATGATAATTATTGACCTTTGCAATCTGTTAATACAAACAAATAAGTTCAGATGGAAAATATGATGTGAAATTAGTATACATTTATATATGCACATTAATATATTTATTTCTAATTTAAATAAATTATGAATAAAAATATAAAAATATTTTAGTTAATCAGATTACAAAAAGAACTTTAATTATAAATATGAATTGTAATTAAAAAGATGCATATTTTATGATAAGCTAAGCAATTTTTATGCCTTCTTAATTTTTTATAAATAAAATTATTGATATCAGAAATATTGAAATATTTTCACTTTAATTAATTAATATTTTTCCAAAATTTTTTATTTAAACACAAAAAATGTGGCCACTGACTGTACCTTGTCTCTAATAGGAAAAATTTATTTTAATTCTTAAATTAAATAAAATATTCAATAAAGAGAATAATTCAACTTAATTCTTATTCAACTCGATATATACCATCCGTATATATATAAGAATAATAATAACAAAAAAAATAAAATCTGATGTAAACACCACAATATCAATCGCATTTTATAGTTACCATGTAAGATTAATAGTTAACTGAGATTACATTAACAAATTTATTTTCCCAAACTTAGATTTTTGCAAAAGATTTATTCCTAGTACGTAATTACCTCAAAAACTGATTTATTAAGGTAGTTCAGTTGGTTAACAGAAAACTTAAATAATTTGCAGACCAATGAAGTCATCTATAGTTTAAAACAATTTAGAGAAGAATAAAGCAGAGAAGAGAATTTCCGAAGAAAACTTAAAATTATATGAAATTTACAATTCGATTACAATACCTTCCATATTTTATGCTATACGCGGTCGATAAAAAAAAATATATACACACGCAATAGGTTTTTGTAAAAAAGAATGATTTTTTTTAGCAAAAAAATTTTTATTAAAACAATTGAAAGTAATATAATTATTATTTATAAATGATTCTAATCACGAAAATATTACTCACTATTTAATAAATTTTGATTATACACTGTTACGACAAGGATCTTTGGTTTATATCCTTAAATACCATATAAACCTCACAACACAAATACCGTTTATATGTACATACAATATACTTTATTGTTGCCTGTTTTGCAATTTTGTTATATAAACATTATTCCGTGTATTTCATTCAATAATTAATGTTATGTATGTATTGTATACAAGGATTATTGCATGTAAAATATTGAATGAAATAATTTTGTTCATTTGCATCGTATTTTCTATTTGTACTTTAAACTCACTTTTTTATTAACAAATTATGAATTAGGTGCCCTTGAAATATGACTCATGTTAGTCTATACATAAATATACATTTTATCAAATACATTATGTCTATAAATATAATCTAAAGCCGAAAGATAAACATTTTGTGCAATAAAAATTCGTACACGCGTTAAGTTTTAAGTTTATCGACGTTATAAAGGGCAAAAAATAAAAAACCGAAATTAATAGATAACAAATTTTTGAAATATTGCGTACAAGACCGCATATAAAAATTATAAATTCTTTTTAATTCAAAATCTTTTAGGCAATAAAGATTATTTGATGAAAAAGACGTTTCTATAATTTTATGAATAAAAATTTTTAATAGCAAAAAATCTGTGATAACTTTTTGATTGTAAAAAAAATGTTTTTGATAAAAATTTTTTGGTCCCACGAGATTGTGATTTTAAAATAAATATTTATTTAAGACTGTTACGCCCAATTAGGCAAATCTGAAAATAAATACAAAATATTTTATAACACTCAAATAGTATAACGCCCTAAGTGTATAACAACTACCAACTACAAAAAACTGAGCAAAAGTAGAAGTTAGTAGTTATGAAAATTTATAAGAGGGACTTCATATTTTTTTATGACAAGAAAACACTAAATACTAGTATGTAGTTAATTTCTAACATAGAAAGTAAAGTATCTCTTGTATAATGTTAATGTATAAGTGGTATATGAAACCGTAGCACTCTTAAAATATTTTGATAGCGCCACTTTTTATACAAATTTAAATATTAAGCATTATGTATGTGGGCATGCAAAATTATTTGGCAAAATATTAAACTAAAATTCATCTTATATTCTTAGATATATATATGCATAAGTATGTATGTACATATGTATGTATATATAATATTTAAAACCGGTGAAATTTATTTGAACAATTTAAATAAGAAAGGTGACACAATTTTCTAAATTTTGCATTTTTCGTTCAAATTTCTTAGAAACTATATATGTATAACATTTATCGATATGTATAAAAGCAGTATAAAAGATAATAGCGTATAACATTTTTAAAAATAAAATTTTAAAATGACTTTGTGACTTTATTTTATTCGAAAGAGTTCAAGGATGTTAAAATGACAATTCATATATGTATGTATGTATACCATAACAAAAAAGCAAGAAAAAGAATATTTTAATTGTTATACAGAAGAAAAAGAAAATTTTAATGCATTTGTATGTACAAAATTCGATATTTAATTTCATTATTATTATTAATCATTAAAGTAATATTTAATTTTATTGTTTTTAATTTAGAACAAAATTTAATTGTTTCATGGTTAAAATTTAATACTTAAAATATTAAGAGAAATACGTAAAAAGTGTAAGAAAAAATATAGAATAAATTTTATAATTCAATGACGAAAAAATTTTAATAATGGAATTATAAAGAGCGTGTTTAATTAATTCTAAAGGATCAATTAAATCATCAGACGAGGCTAGACCTAGAAAATTATGGTATTTTCAAATTTTGCGCGGAGGACGAAGATGCATCGGTACACCTTCAGGAAAAAAACGATGCTCTCACCCGCAGGACAAGGGAATTGCTGTGAAGGGAATTATGTATTCACTCCGGCGGAGCTACAATCTGCCGGACCTTCCAAATTACTCGAATCCATCAGAAAGGTAGGTCTAGAGGGGGTGTAAGGATTAGATCTTTTGTTAATAGATCTTTCATAGTGGTCGCGTTGTACTATTACCCCTTCCTTACAATCTAAAATCTTCAATCTACAAATGTCATCAGACGATTGCTAAGAAAAGTAGCATTCATGCCCTTAACTATACAAAATTGTACGAATGCTTTTCGAAGCATGTCCACGCAAACCTAGAACGACAGTGGAATGTTTTATTCACACCTCAAAGCCATTCTCCAAAAATCGGCTATAAATCATAATAAATCTCAAAATTAGAACTATTCCTATATTAATTATCACATTT